TCTCTCTCTCTCTCTCTCTCTCTCTCTCTCTCTCTCTCTCTCTCTCTCTCTCTCTCTCTCTCTCTCTCTCGTCGTTGTCTTCTTGCAGGTACAGACGGCGACGATCTCCTCCGCAGTGCAGCTATGGCGGACTTCGTCTTCAGCGGTGGCGCTCTTCAGCTATGACGCCCTACTTGGCTAACCTACGGCAACGGCGATGGCGCATGGGATAGCGGGTACCGGTGTCGGGTTGTGTCTTTCACACCACACATGCATGTAAACAGGTAGCACAGCAACTGGCGACAAGCGTCCACTCAGAACTTAGAGATATGGTAACCAAGAACACAGTTCAGATACAAGCTCACTTCAAATGGCTATGGCGCATTAGCACCTGTACAACTCTCTGTTCGTCACTCACCCAACTCTGCTGTTCACACACAGGATCGCCCTGGATATCCCACGCGCGACACACTGTACACACACGCACACATACACTACGCCCTTCTTCCAGCTATGGCGGCTATGGCCGCTACTACCTCTACCGCTATGGCTAAACTCTCCTTCTCGTCCACTTCGTCTTCGGGCATACTGCAGACCACCTCGCACAAGTCGCTGTGGCAGCGCTTCCATATGGCTTATGCAGGAATGAATGAATGGCTGGGCGCTGCCGCTTGATTTATACTTCTGTAACTCGTTGGTCTGCCCCTTTTCTATGCCCGTGGTGTACACAGTCCCATACGGTACTTGCTTGACTGGACTAGGACTGACTGGCACTGGGACCGCTGACTCAGCAAGGGTGGACTCCACCACTTGCCCCCTTGCCTCTGTCTAGACGTGAGCTAAGTTCGAAAGGCCACTACTGGGACCTTCCGGAAGTGTGTAGTCCTAGCCTTTCAAACACTGTAGCAGCTACGACCTTGACCTTTCACGACTGTAGCAGCTACGACCTTACCTTTCAGAAGTCATACAGCTACGACTTCTAGAACTCCCTAAGACCTCCATCCGACAGATCTACAACTTACGGACCCTACGACAGTCTACCAACTGTTACGAATACACAGGTCACGAGTTCAACTCTCGGGGTTGACGCAGGTAATGTACACAGGTAAGGTAAAGTCCTGGGATCTGCATTCGCTACTGCTAGCAGGTGAATACCGTTTCACCCATGGCAGGTCCTGCCATTTCCTCCCCCCCCCCAGGTCCTTATGGTCCTGGCTCCATATCCATTCTGGGGAGCGTCAGTCCGGTTCCTATTTCCCCGGCAAGTAAAAAAAAAACAGTTGACATCACTTAACTCACCCACGCCCCCTTCCGTCTGGCCGAAGGGTCCCTGAAAAGCATTGATTACTCCATTGACATGGAGGATTGACTGTCAGCTTGCCTTTCTCTGAGTTTCCTCTCAGATCCTTCAAGCAGAATCTGTCAGTTAGGCGATACAGCTAGAAACCCAAAGACCTGTTGTCTGAGTTGAGCTCGAAGGAACTCATGTCGCCCTGAAGTCCTGTTGCTCTTCCTGATTGGGAGTTGGGATTGACGAATTGTGCCAGTCCTATCTGATTTGTAAATTCTGAATCTCAGCCATCTTCCCATGGACTAGCCACACTCTGTAAAGTTGGATATCAACTCTTGCTGTTTCTCTGGATTTTGCTGAGCTTGGAGTTTGACCTTCTTCCATTGGCACTGGATATCGGTCTCCATGAACAGTTTCGTAGTCGCCCATACTTGTTCAGTCGGATTGGTAGTCTTGTCGATTGTCCTGTTGCATCTCTCCTTCCAAATGACCCCCAGTGTTCTCTTCCTGATTATTCCAAACCAGACGCGTTCCGATTTGTGGGAAAGAGAGGGGGTGTTAGTCCATAGGAGAAGTTGGATTGGGTGTTCGGGTAGGGAAGAGGGAAATAAGTGGTCCCAGAGCACTGAAGCTCTTGCCCACAGGTCAGTAGCGAGTTTACATGTGATCTGACAGTGTACTATATCCTCCTGTTCGTTATCTGAGCATACCATACATTGGTCTGAACTGTTCGGATCGCTGTTCTTTCTTCAAACATGTAGCCAGGCATTCACTGCGAGGGCATTGTAGGTGATCAGCTATTGGAGACTTCTTATCTTGACTGGGTAAATTGACTTGTACTTTCACCAAAGGGGTTCCGAAACTGGTTCCATTCTTTGTCCAAGCAATTTAGTCCATCTTTCTATAATTACTGGCCCCGGGTCTTTGGTTCTTAGAAGGTTTCTGTATCCCATCTTAACTGTGTACCGTGTTATCTGAAAGGGGGTTTTACATAATCTTGTAATGACCCGCCATAACACAGACTGAGAACACTGCTGATTTCTGAAGTTCTGCCGATGGAATGGATGCCTTGCCAAGATTCCCGCATTCTGCTGTGTTTTCTAAGTCTGTATGTGTGCGTGCTTGTTGACTTGCGTGCCTGTCTGAGTGCTTGTCGGCATGAGTGTGTGTGTGACCCGTAAGGGTACTTGGTTGTTTGGCAGGCCCGTAGGGTCGGTACTTACCTGTGGCCGTGGCATTGAGGGTTGCAGCAGGGGAAAACACTCGAGTAGCGGAGGCAGGGGCCCGCGGCACCTGGAGCAGCAGAAAAACACTCAAGTAGCAGGTAGGCCGGTATCGCACCCAGTAGCAGTAGATGTGCCAGGTACTCGAGGCCGAGCAGAAGAAGACAAAGTTGGCATTTTCAGAGGCCCAGTAGTGGTAGGCTAGGTCTAGCCCGGTACCAGTCCATCCAGTCTAAGTCTAGAGCCTGTACGGGCAATATCAGAGTCTGCAATGATGTTTCCCTCCGAAAGGGAGGAGGTACCGGTTGCTTGGGAGGCCGAGCGGCCTGGAAGTCACCGCCCA